GGGGCGCGGCAGGGTTCCGCGAGGGTTCCTTTGGAGTATCCCTCTACCCTGGGTGCGCCAGAACCCAGGCCTGAGGCTGCCGGGCGCTGGGGCACAGGCTGCCTCTACGACCTCCATCTCGGGTTGAGGGGCCGGGGGAAGGTCTGGGCTGCCTTCAGCCGCGTTTGGCTCTCAGACCCCGCCCACTCTCCTGCAGGTGACAGGGAGACCACGGTCCTGCCCCCTGCATCAGGTAGGTGAGTGCTTCCTCAAGCCGCAGCTCGCACCCTCCTGTGCAGCCCCACCCAGAGGGGCCCTGCAGGGGGCTCTGCCTAGGGGGGGTGCCTGGTGTCTCCTGCAGAGGCCATGCCTCAGTCAGCCCCTCCCCAGGCAGGAGGGCAGAGGTCAGGAAGACCAGAACCAGGTGCTGGAGATGTCCGTCTCGGAGGGTGTCCCTGGGCCAGGCTGGGTGGAGAGCCAGAGGGAGGGACCATGAGCCCAGGCCCCGCCGGGCCACTCCTCTGGGCCTTTCCCTTGCCGACGTGGGGGTGAGGTGGGGAGGTGCGCGAGGTTGGCCCCAGTATGTCGTAGCCTCTTAGACACTGCAGCTCTGTGTTCAGAGCACAGACAGGACCCTAAGAGCTGTCCCCCAGCCCCTCTCTCCTGTGTCCTCCTCCCTCCTGGACACCCTGTTGGCTTCAGCCCTGTGACCTCAGGCCGCCCCTGGGGGAGGAGCAGCACAAGCCCATGGCTCCTCTGGGCGCCCCGCCCCCTCCTGCTCAGGTGGTCCAGGCCCTAGGTCATAATACCGTGGGCAATGCAGGCACACAGGAAAGAGCCGGCCTCTCACTGTCCCTACAGGCCCTCCTCTGAAAGCTCTACCTGCCTTCAAGGCCCAGACGCTGCCCATGACCTTCTGCCTGGTCCTCAGCTCCCTCCTGCTTGTCATCTCACTGGTCCTGGGGATACAGTGGTTCCGGGGCAGAGGAGCCTGTAGGGGTAGGTGCGCGTGGTGATCGAGGTTAACACTGGGCCTTGCGGACGGGGAGGCTGGTGGGGGCAGCACTCTGAGACCTTAGCCCATCGCAGGTCCTCTGTCCTGGTCACTTCCCTGTGTGCTGGGTCCCCCTCGGACCACCCCCCATCCCCAGCCTTGGCAACTTCCGAAGACGTGAACCCATGAGTTGGTGACAGGGGAGCCTGGGCCCTCTCTGGGTTCTGGAGGGGCTGGATGAGACCTGCAGTTCGGGGTTCCCTCTGTGGGAGAACAGGGCTCCAAGGAGAGAAACGTGCATCAAGGACCCTCGGCAATTCCTCAGAGCCCCCAGGTCCTGCTTCTCTGTCTGTGCCCACAAATCCTGCCCATGGCCTGGTGTGCCTGGTGAGGCCTGTGGCCCCTGGTGGGGAACTGTGGCAGAGGCCCCCGGGGTCCAGGGAGTCCTGCGCCCATGAGACATCCCACAGGGGCCCCATGGGCCGGCTCAAACCACGGGGAATGTCTCTCCTAAAAGGTTCTGGTGTGGTCTCTGCAGGTTCTGGAATGTTGGGAACTCTGCCCTCAGAAGGTGTTTATGAGGACATCGGAGCTGTTCCCGGCGGGGAGAAAGACGAGGGGCCTGGCGTGTCCTGGGTGCTAGCGCAGGAGGAGGAGTATGACGACGCAGGGGAGCCCGAGCCCGGCTCCGAGGAGGAGGAAGCAGAGGACGGCACTCCCCTGAGCTCCGTGGGTGTGCATCTCTGTGCCCTGGCGTCCGTGGCACTTGTCCTGCTGTACTGCTCCTGCTCCCAGGGCTCCGCTCCGGCCAGCCCCTACATCTAAAGCTGCTGAGAGCCCCTCTCGTGTGTGTCTGTGACCCTCGCTCCCGCCCCAGGCTTGGCGTTAGGGTGCTCGGTCGCCCCTCAGAGTTGCTCCTTAGACTGAAACCTTCTCGCGGGTAGACTGGGAGCTTAGGGAGGCCCTGAGTTTTATCTGGCTTCTTTTCATGGCTGCGCAGAGTCCCCCAGTGCCTTGTCTGCGGTCGGCTGCAGGGGCTGAGCAGGAACGCACCCGCCACCACGCTGTCCAGCCCTGTCTCACTCTCTGGCCTCACAGAGCAGCAGGAGGCCAGGGCCCGGAAGCCCTGGGAGCTCTGAGGAATTGCTGAGGGTCCCCAGTGCGCACTTCTCTCCTTACACAGGTGGTGCTCTGCACAGCCTGGGCCTCCTCCAAGCTCAGGCTGGGAACGAAGACCACAGCAGCCTCTGGCCCAGGACGTGCTGACTGTCAGCTGGCCGTGGGGGACACCAGCGAGACCAGAGGGTGGGAGAGAGCCCAGTGTGCCTGGGGGCTTTCGTTTTCCTTGTTTCTTAAAGAGATTTATTAAATCATGCATCCTTAATTCATCTCAGAAACTTCCCTCATATGCCCTCGTGGCCCAGGTTCTGATTTTGGCCTCTTTTCTGCCTCCCCCTGGTCTGCTGTGGCTTCTGACGTTTTTCAGTGGTGTCCTCACCACGGCCTCTTGTGCGCACGCTTCTCCCAGGGTGTGGGGTGGGGATCCCTGATGAACCAGCTCATGGCCACCCTCCTTTCTTCTGCAGACAGGGCTCCATCTAGTTCAAGTGTTGTGCCAGATTCTCCAGCACTCACAGCTGTCCTGCTCTGATGACCCCACTGAACTCTTTATGACCACACCCTCCCTGACCACACCTCCCTGACCACACCTCCCTGGTCACACCCTCCCTGGCCACACCTCCCTGACCACACCCTCCCTGACCACACCCTCCCTGGTCACACCCTCCCTGACCACACCCTCCCTGACCACACCTCCCTGGCCACACCTCCCTGACCACACCCTCCCTGGAAAATGTTTCCCTGCCTCTTCTTCCATGTGTGGGTCTGGTATCAGTTTGCAGATGACCAGACCCACCTATATCTAGATGTTTCTGAACTCCCACTTTCCCATCTCAGAATCCGGGGAAAGACGGGGTTTAATTATCCTGTGAGTCTGTCCTCTGCAGCGTCTGTCCAGTGATGCCACTGATTATCACTTACCCCTTAATGTTTACCCTCAGGGTCTGGCCAGCCCGCTGCAGCCGTCACTGGCACTGGGCCCTTAGGGTCTCTCTGAGGGGAGGGAGGGTGTGGAGCTACTTTAGTCAGCCCAGGAGTTTGCGTGCCCGCAGACCCAGCTTCACCACTAGTGTCTGGACCGCGTAACTCTCTGTGGGTGTCCTGGGCACTGTGGGGTGTTGAGCAGGACCCTGGCCCCCACCCACCAGATGCCAGTTCAGTACCCTCCCGCCCGTGGTCATGACACAAAATGTTCCCAGCAGCAGACCTGCCTGGGCTGGGAACCCCTGGGCCGGAGGCAGGCTTGATGGGGTGCTGGGCATGTGTCTAAACCACTACGAGCCTGTAGGATCCAGCAAAAGAGGTTTTCTTATTTATGAGTTTATTTGTGTAAAGAGTCTTCAAATATAAAGATATTAACTCCTTAGCAATTACACATACAATGAATCATCTTCATTGAAAAGAACATTACATAGAAAAAATGTAAATTTTAGCCAAATTATAAGGTGGAGAAGGTTTTGCTAAGCTGGAGCTTGAGTGGGTGTTTCGACTCTCCGTGGCAAGTCTCCTGGGGTTTCATTTGCACTCAGTACTCGTTGACGGTTTACTCTCCTAAAAACGTTCGCTTTTGAGACTCTTAGCAGCAGCATTGGAGCTGGGGGGTGATTCAGGAAGTCTTGTTATATTTGGAATATTTGCCTTCTTGTGATAGAAATTCTCATGTTTTCATCTGTTATGTTTATCCTTGTTCACATGATGAGTTAGTATTTAAGTATAACTTAAGGAACAGTATTTATTATACAGACTGAACTACAGAAAAGAGACAGAGCATTGCCTGACCCATGGCCCGCGGTGCCCGAGGGGGTGGAGGTAATGTGAAGCCCCTGTTTGCAGCTGGAGATGTGCACTCAGACACAGCCACTCAGTATACCCCTGTCTCAGGTGCTCCTGGGAGGGGACATGTGGCTGTGGTGTTGGGGTCTAGGTCTCAGACCTCATTTGGTAGCACTAGCATAATTACAGCACCCCGGCTTCAACCAGAGGCAGATTCAACTAAGGGTGTGGGGTTGAACCCTGGCCCAGCCACGTCGGAGCCTCGGGACCCACGACTTCCTCACCCTGGAGCGCCCGCAGGGACTTCAGCATATGGCGCCATCACAGAGAAGTCAGACAAGATTTGAGAGTGCAAGTGATCAACAGTCAGGTATCATTATTGCGCCCTTTAACCATGACTGCCAGTAACTACAATATGGTGCTGGTGATGCAAGTGTTCCCCACCCTTTGCAGTTATCCGGCAACCCTAGAAAGAGATTCTCCGAGTGTGAGTGTTTGCAACTTAGCGCAAATGCTGCAGTGAACACCGGCAGAGTTTTACCAAGAAGGAGGCAGTGCCTAGAAAGGAAGTTGTGGTTTCTTAATTGCTGATCTCACAAATTGTTCAGCAGTTTAGTAAAAATATAAACATCAATATTGGGGACCCTTTTACATTTATGGACAGAAGGATGGAGTTTAGCTAAATTCCCGCTGCAAATCTTTTGAGCCCCGAGCAGGAAGTTTCATCTGCTGCCTCTGGGTTTAGGCTGCTCCCCAAGGAAAGCAGTAGGTGCTGGGTTGATTGCTCAAGGCCCCGCCCCTGACCTGACCTGGATTCCCTCTCCCTGAGCCCAGCCCCCATCCTGCCCACCTCGTGTGGGCTCCCAGCTGCCTTCACAGACTCAAAGGTGGAGAGAGCTGATGGCCTGGGGACTCAGCTGGACTCCAGCGCCTCCAAGTGTCTGTCCATTTGGAAGCAGAGGTGGCACCCTCAAGGGGCAGGGACAGATGTGAGAGGTGCCAGGGAGAGTGAGGACACTCTGAATCCCTGGTGCCCAGGGAAGGGTGTCCACAGCTCCAGGGCTGCCGAGGGCGAGGGCATTGAGCATGGAATGGAATTTGAAGACCTGCCACCTGACAACACCCACCTTAGTCACGAGGTGGCCCTGGCAGGCCGGCCTCCCTCCCCCACTATGTTTAGAGTTTTCTTTCTCCAGGACGTCCCAGGGAGGGGTCTCTCTCAGTGTGCTCCTTTGCAAGATCCCAGGGACATGGGGAAGTCTCCTCTGAGGTCATCTATGAGCAGATCCTTGAAGACTGCATGGATCTGAGTGGTACAAACCTGAAGCCTGGGGACTGACCAGTGAGTGTGGGGGCTCCTGTACCCCACTCCTACTCTGACATCAGGACAAGGAGGCAGCCCTGGAGCTGAGAGTTCAGGGGCGGGGATGTGATGGCATGGGTCTCAGCCCTACTGTGGCATTTAGCACGGGCCCCATTGGGCACCTGGTGTGCAGAGGGAGGAGCAGGGAGGAGCCTGGTGCTCCCAGGAGGGAAAGAGGACTGTGAGGGGTGCTCAGAGAGGCAGTGGGGCCAGTTCCCAGGGCTCCCAAACCCACTAATATCTGCATCCCTCTCACCGTCCTATGGTGTGCTGGCTCCACCCTTTCCTGCTGTTCTGGGTTCCCTGAGACCCCCAGGCAGGCAACCCAGCCTCTGAGACCTTGCGGAGGGGTGACAGAAGGCGCCTACAAGTCAATAAATCTTGTCCTGATCCCTAGGACCCCCACACTCTGCTCTGGTGGTTAAAGGGAGGGGAGCATGGCACACCTTGAGCCCAGTCCGGGAGTTAAGCACCTGAGCCAGGTCTTCCTGGGACTGGTCAGAGAGGCCCCAGCACAGAGCTGGTCACGTCCACCCAACACTGCCCACTGGCGTGCTATGTGCTGGGGTGGGGCCCGGAGGACGCGTGGGCAGCAGCGCAGCCGAGATAGACCCTGGGTGGGCCTTCCTCTCCTCTCCCCCAAGGCACGTGGCCCGAACTCCTGCGGGGGTGCGTCTCTCTGACAAAGTAGTAGCCTCACTGGACCAGGGTCCTGGGCAGCCCCCTTGGCAGCCCAGGTGGGCCCTGCCCAGGGTTCCCCGTAGGCCAGGGGGAGATCTGCACCGACAGCTTGGGGTTGGAGACACCCCTGCGACCTGATGACCAGGTGACCCGCGCACCTTCAGGCCGGCAGGTGATGCACAGGGAGGTGGCCCCTTGGCGCTGGGAGAGGAGCCCCCCTCACTGGCGTCCTCGCCTCCAGCTATGACGACGTGGCCGCGGCGGCGGGCACCGGGCGGTGAGCCGACTGCTCCTCCACCGGCACCTGTCCCTTGTGGGGCTTCCGGGAAGGACTTGGGTTTTCCTGGTTTGGACAGATTCGTCTTTGGGACTTTCACTAACAACCCCCCCTCCCCTGCCGCCGCCCTCAATGCAGATATGTTAATAAAGGTCGCCCGATTTAATAAAGTTAGAGCCTCTATCCGGCCTCGCGCTGGTGGGAACAGGGTCGGTAAACCCTGCAACGCTGGACGATGCCGGTTCCCACCCGGTGGTGCCCAGAGGCTCCCGAACCCTGGGACGTGTGGCGGGAGACCCTGCCCCAGGTGCCCCCCCGCTTTCCCGTCAGCCCGGCCCTGTGGGCCCTCTGCACCCTCAGCCCTTCCTGGCACCGGTGCCGCGGGGTCCCGCTGGGTCCAAGCCCGGTGCCCGCGCCCCGCACTGCCCTTGTGCGCCGCCGCGCTCCATTCCGACCCTGCGCTGGAGCTTCCCGCTCCCCACAGACGTGATCTGGGGTGAGGGGTCCGTTGTTCCCACGGCCGTCATGTTTTTCCGTTTTCAGGCAACATTTTTGTTCTTACGAACGAGATGCGCTTTGTAGAGAGCGTGAGAGAGAGGCTTATCCAGAAGAAAGAAATGCTCACAGTGCAGTTGGTAGCAATTGTTTCCCTCCTAAAAACATACTTGAAAACCTCTGAGGCACACTCCTCCCTGCGGTCCCTATACCAGCCTGAGGCAGCCGACTGAAAGGCAGTGCACTAGCAGAAAAGGGGAGGACGTGAAGGCGGTGATGAGGGTGGGGCTCAACCTGGGAAAGGATGGACACTTTTCATGGGGTACACGAGAAGGGATCCAGAATATTTGCAGCTATGCATATGCACACTCGTGCACAGACCACACACACACACATCTGTGTGCGGCCTGCACACACGGGGCTCTGTCTCCACCTCCTCCCTGGCCAGGTCCCTGTGCCCACGAGCCCCAGGCCTCAGAGCACCAGGAGTTCCCGGGGGGGGGGGCAGCTGGTGGCCAGGGACGGACCCTCGGCGGACTCACCCCCTCCACGCCGCAGTTTTGCAGTAAAGGTTTTGGTTTCTGTTTGCTTTAGTCCTGTTTCCGTATCTCAGTTCCTTTTTCTCCCTGACAGGGAAGAGAATGCTCTCATTGGGGCCCTGTGGCCTCCACACTGCTGCCTGCTCCTGGTGTGTGTGTGTGCATGCCTGGCTGCGCAGGTCCCTGAATGTAGCCCCCCCTTTCTACAGAGAACAAAACCAGGCGCGGGTGCTTGGCCTGGGAGAGCTGCATCAACAGCTCTCAGAGGTCGGAGCCCACCTAGTAACGGAAGCAGCGTTTCGCTTGTGTCACGTGTACTGTTTCCTGCTTCATTTCACCCATTTTCTCCTCGGTGTCCTCAGACTAATGGCTCATTACAGGCACAGGTTGTTCCAACAGCTGTGGTTTCCTTTTTGTTTAGCTTCCCCACCTCTGTGGCAGCCTGGCAGTGCGGGTCCTCAGACATCTCCTCTGGGTCCTCCCCACCTTCTCGAAGAATC